CGCTATTTTCAAGTTTTGAACAACTCGACTTTCAAGATCTACATGTCAACATGTGTCGATGTTTCCGTTTATCAACGTTATATTTTAAGATCTGTGCAAGAACTCAGCTGACAGATGTTTCCGCATGTAAAAGCTATCTTCAAGTTTTGTACACCAAAAAAACTTTTCAAATAATAATTACTATACACATAATTACTAAAGGCTAGGTGTATTTGTTGGATAGTCCCCTTTTAACGCCACTTTTCAAATGATATTTTGTGATGCATAAGCAGAAAGATATTTTCCATTCAGCTTTATATGCTAGCGGTAAAGTAGAACATGTTTCCATACAGACTCGTCAAGTGCAAGAATATATGTGTTTGGTAGAAATCGAACGACCAACTCACACATTCCTAGGCTGAGTCAATTAAAGGGGCCGTAGAATATGAGAAAAGGCGCTAGGCTCTCTCGAGATCAATGACTGTCGTCCGGATGTTAAATCCAGGATTTGCCAACCTTGCTGTTTGTCTGGACACGTGCAGGTACTGAATCATCAATATTTTACGCCTTCTTGGCCAGTGGAGACGGGAGATTACAGTCGGGCCTAATCCCTCGTCCACTATTTTCTTACATCACCTACATATGGATGGCCGTGCTGGCAGGCTCCATAAAACATTGCTGGTCATAAACTGACCATCTTCCATCCTCTCAGCCCCCAGAGCCTTCGCTTTCTTAAGAACACAGCCAGCCTGGGCTGCGCCGATAGCGACGACTAGCCTTTCCGGACTACTTGGAAAGTTGAGATAATCCCGCCGTTCAAGGTGGCAAGGAGGAAATCAACATGGCTATTGATTCTCTTTGACACAGGCTCGTGCAGGGCATGCTCTATTACAGGAAATAGCCAGTATGTGCTAAATAGTTTCCTCCCGGAATTCGGCAATACATGTGTAATAATTGCTAAAAAAATCTATAGAACTCTGAAAGTGCATTGAAAAACAAGTAATTTTTTATAACGTCACAGAATTAATAAAAGTGTTATGTTTATCAGTAATAATGGACATAAAACGAGAAATAATTGTACTAAAAGTATACATAAACAGACACACATAAACACATTAATTAATCAAATATCAGTATTCGTGTTATTAACATTTAAACACCCCCGTATAGATAATAACGTGGAGCAATTAGAAAATATAAATCAGAAATGGGGGTTCATTTTTATAGCCAAACACGTTTAACTTTACTGATCCAATATTAATCATAATGTTACATAACGCTTAGTATTTATTAGCTGTTGTAATTGATTGTGCAAAAAAATATATGTTTATATATAATGTACACTATATAAAACAATTAAAGAATGATCGGAATTTGTAACATTATATCTACGAAAAACCAAACAATTATTATAAAATATGACTAATTACCCTATTAGTTCACTGCTATTTGTACACATCTTTTCAAAGTTTAATTAGAACAACAGGAGAAGTAAGCAAAACTGCTTTATTTATTCGACGTATTGTAAATGTTGATAATACCAACAGTTTTTGTGTATTACATCAAGCGTACTGGCCATTCAGACTATGATAGATATATATACAGATATAATATATAGATATATTTACATATATATAATCACAGATTTTGAAGTGTTGTTTATGAAACATAACTAGACTGACCCTACTGAGATACTAAGAACTAATGTATTTTTAAAGGCCGGTCATTGGAATTTTATGTATTTTTTGAAATATTTCAAGGTCGATGGGCTTCCCTTCTGTAAATCCGGCACTGGCTAGACCTCAAAGAAGTCATGAGGATGTTTCATTCATGTGGAGAACCAACAGACATATGATATCTAACCAATCACAGGATTTGTTGCATGCGGAGAAACAACAGACGAATGATATCTAACCAATCACATGATTTGTTGCATGTGGAGAACCAACAGACAAATGATATCTATCCAATCACAGGATTTGTTGCGAACTGACTACAAGTATCTACTAGAGTCGTTAGGAAGATGTGGAACTGCTTCCAAACAAGTCGTACAGTTGCTCGGACACCTGAACGAGGCAAACCATTATCAACAACAGAAGCATATAACGCTATCTTTGATTCTGTCTTGCCAGAATCGTAGGGTACATACTCCAGAACTAAATCAGTCGTTCGCAGTCGTAAATGCACCAACATGTCAGTGTACAAGCAGAAACAGAATTTACAAGGCCGGCCTGATACCAGAAATCAAGTGTGGTACATTTTGCATACAGCAAGATGCAAAACAGTTCGTCTGTGATGATAATAATAACACGTCCAGTGGACCAAATAGAATATGAAAAAATATCCTTTTCTACTTATTATTTGCGCTTCATTCTGCTGTCAGATAATAGGGAAGTTGATCCCACTCCATTTTCATACAGGTACATGACGCATATGACTGGAATGGAGGTATAAGAATAAATATTGGTGGACATACTGGTCTCAACATCCTGTATAACGGTAGCGATAGTGCAATACATCATAAGGATCACATCCTACTACCCTTTGTGCTGCCATATGCTGGTGTAGCTGGCTTGGACTTTAACCTTAGGGATGATAACTGCCTCCCTCATCGTGCTGAACTGTAAACATTCTTTGAAAAAGAGGAGACTGACCGAATAGAATAGCCTACACGCTCATCAGACTACAATCCCATCAGGTACGAACTGGATGCTTTTGAAGATGCGTCGAATCCCATCAAGTGACTTCAGACACATATGCCCTGGAAATAGCTTTCTCAGAGGAGTGTTCGAAGATACCTCATGACCTTACTGACATTTTGACCTTAAGCATGCAACATCAGTGTCAGACGGTCCATACTGTTCGTGGTTATCTTACTCTATATTGAAGTAAAATGTATAAACTGTAAAGAAGTAAAATCACATCTACCAAACCTTCATTTAAGAGAGTAAGCTGAACGACCAATCATTTTTAATTCAGATCACTTGAAGGATAATCATTCGCCGGTTCATGTAAAGATGAGTTGAGAGAGTGATTGGCATAATGTTATAAAAATAGTTTTTGCCGTAACTAGAATATTGTATATTCTATACAGTGTACTATCCGAGCAATGTTGTTATTACTCTCAAGTCATCAAACGTCCGAAAGTACAGTCCAATTTTGTTGTTATGAAGTTATATCCTTTATGATACCAATAAAAGTTTGAAATATTTTCGTGAATATCTATTTGTCAGAGAAGTGAAAATGTTGTAAAATTGTGAAGAAGAATGCAATACCAATATTTCACGATGTCGTTGTATTTTTTATTGTTAAAACCCCTTTTTGTACAAAAACATAAAAAAACAACAACAACCAGACCAGTAAGAAGTAATTCTGTAAGCTTAGATGTGCTATCAAATATCAGTATAATTGCTGCTACAGTATTGTTTTTTGTTTCTTTGTTCTAGTTATACATTAAATAAAATGTTACTGTATAGTTTTTAATATTCCACTATACTTTACAATGTTGCAAATGAGAACGTACTCTTAAAACTGTTGAAAGTGTTTATGGTTTTAAAAACTTTATAAAGGACTTGTAAGAAAATCAATACCTATACTGGCGTAAATAAACTTTATTTTATACTGCTTTAAAAGGTTGTTGAGCATTAATAAATATACTGTTTCACGTTTCCACGGCTTAAACGTGTTAATCTATAAACTCACTGATCACTGTATTTGTGTACGAAAAAACCTTACATATAAATCAAAAATTAAAAGCAACTTTATCCATGGGGTTTATAAGTGTTTTGAAGATTTTATGAACACATATTTATACATACACTATATACCTCTATTGCCATGCTATTGCGTAATGTTGCTTATATGAGGTTCCCGTACTGTGGTCTGCGGATAAACCTTGTAATGGGAGTCATTTTGTTCTTAGTCTCGTGAGTGTTTTATAAATATCCTACACATTGAGAACACTTCAATAGTAAGTAGATATTTTCCACCATTTTAAAAAAGCATTTTCTATCTCGGTGATACTAGTTTTAAGTCGTTTTGATTTTTCATAAATAATGAATAAATAAATAAAAATGTTCGAAGTGGATAGGATACAACAATATGCTCATGATTTCACAAAAACGCTTCGCAAGTCCTATAATCTGTTGTGCCAAATGAAGCTCGAATGGCGAGTCTTGGAAAAGTCAATGTTTTGGGCACCACAGCTATATGCTGTAATGATCCATAGGTCTTAAACCTCCGATCAGTTTGAAAATTATGCTGTGGTAACGCAAAGTGTATTCCTCATAAACTTACACTTAAGTGCTTAGAAAGAGATGGCCTAAGTAGAGAAACCTCAATAATATTACCAAAGTGCTTCTGTATTCCAACAGACGTGATGAGCGTTCTTATGATGCATAAGTTTCAAGAAAATGTAGGCAAACAAACTTATACACTTTAAAACATACAAAACCTAGTAACAGCGTGTAATAAAAGTAGAAGAATAAAACCCAGTATCTTGCTAGCTCTTATAGAACTAGAAATTACACTGTCAGAAGAAAGCTACTGACCACTGTGTGACAAGGCAACTGCTACCCAATATGTAACACAAGCAGTGCTGGCTATTTGAAAACATTGTGTTATAAGAAATGTGTGGAAGGAAATTTACTGATTATTTGACATACACAGCTAACACGTATTCAATGTATGATACATGTTTTGTTATATATATATATAACTAGAAATGTGTGACAACAAACCTATTCAGTGATTTTATACACACACAAAAATGCGATTCAATGTATGACATATGGTAAAACCTAGTTATTTAAATTAGCAGGACACTACTGGACAATATAAGGAGCGTTCTCCAAACACAATAACAACAGCAGTGACTATTATAGTATATCTTAACACCGAACTATCGTTTTAATACGTGTTCTCAGTAGTTCTTCACAGGAAGAATATATATATATATATATATATCAACGGCTTTTAAAGTAAAAATCATTAATACTAGAAAACAAACAGCATTTTTACCTTTATAAAACGAAGTGCAATGTGGTTCCTTCTTTATCATTCTGTCCACTAGAAAATACGAAAGAAACAACATATTAATGTTAAGAATTCATTTCCAAAAATGTATACTGTTTTAATACAATTATGAAGTTATAGTTTTGCATCAACGGTTACACAAATCCTTCAATGTCGTAATGAAACTTAAACTATTCTAAAACCTTAAAATGTATATGCAATACATCATTCAAAAAAATTAGAAACAAACAAACAATATAGAAATCAGGACCATTTGATTAGCATGATAAACAACAGATGGCGCTACCTCTAGCAGAGCATATTCAACGTTCCAATATAACTGTGATAAAATATATATATACATATATATATATATATAACAGTCTGGTTGTACAATAACAGTATGAATCTGATGTAAGTGATCCCATTATCATTGAAATATTTAGCAATGACAGCTGGTTTAAACGAATCAAATACCTGAACAAATGTTACTCTGAACATCATAAACATACACGTACAAAAATTCACTTGCCCAAACCACAATGGGCCTTTATTCAACTGTTCTGGGTTTTCTGCAAAGGACAGTTTAAAACTTTTAACAGATATCTTGCATTTTTACTTAACCTTTCTTTCCATTTCTTATTCCATGTACAGGGTATACGGAAATTATGTTAACAAATTGTATAGTTGTGTATCTGGGAAAGGAGCATCGAACTTCTATTAAAATCCGATTAAACCAACAGAAATACACTACAACACAACACAAGCCCAACAAGAGTTTCAAGACATTCAGATTTATTATTAATAAAGCTATTAATATAATTTCAGGAAAACCTTTATTTGGGTAATCGAAGCAGGTTTCCTACGAATTACAAACAATTTGAAATAATCGAATCATAAATGATAAGATGGTATACCTTGACATCATATTGACAGTAGGAAAGCTTATTTAAGACCTTTAAAATATAACATAGAACATACGTTTAAGGGCAAATTAAACATACTTTTGTTATACATTTAACAAGAAATTATGAAGAAATCACATGTCTTTTGCTGCTGTTTATCTAACACGTCATTCTTTATCTTTAATAAAACTGGTGGGTTGGTACCCTAGTCCGTTATATAGAAACTTGTATATGCTGTTGGGAGGCAAACCACGTGGCCGTGGGTTATTGATATAGAACTTCTAGGTGCTCCCAAAGCACACGTGTTTTTGATGCTTGTGGAAGGAAAACAAGACCATGTGGACCCTCATGACTACGCGAACAACGCAAGTAATGCCCGATGTATTTGACTGCTTCCCTTTGTGTTGGAGTTTCTCAAGCTTCTTTATATTCTCCCGCCAGCAGTGAGGTAATAACTACCCGACACTACACGAAACTGTACGAATATATTGAATGCATATACACAACTGCAGGGTCAATACTCTTTCCTCTAAATTAATCATTCAATATATCTACCTGTCTTCTTAACATATCAGCCTCTATCTAATATTTGGCTCATATATTCTTCCCATTTATATTTTACTCCACTATTGAGATCACTGGTGCATTTACTTATTTATTTATCCAATTACAAATTGTAGAAACAGACATTGCATATAACAGATTATAAAACACAATATAGTGATCAGGATTAGAAAACATAAATTTATATCTGGATTTTAACAAGGGGTGTACAAATTACAGCACTTTATTTAGTCTTGACAGCACAAACCATGATCAAAACTTAAAACTTCAATAATGTATTTGGATAAAACATCTTCACACATCCCAAGCATTACTGTACGATGTTTCAACCGTTTTAGGTTTAGTATATGTGAACCAATATGTTTAATCACCATAGGCAATTGCACCTTTTGACCAAACATTGAAAATAAAGTGATACATATCACAGATAACAATCGCTGTACCAAACACAGGGTATTAAAACACAAACATACATACATATACATGTAGAAAAACTAAAACACACAAGAGCATATTTGGATCATACGTATTGGAGATTGTATGACATATAAATCAGTCGGACAGACCGTATTACAGGTAGATAATATTCGACAAACATGAGAATAAATAATTTTTTGCTACAATATATTTAGTACATATGCCTGAAACAGGAGTGTGATTAAATCACACATTCACAATTTGTATTCTATAATATAAGTAGCACACAAACATAAAACCAAAAAATGTAGCTGGATCATTCATATACGACAGACAACGGCGGTACTGTAACAAACTCAAGAGGTTAAATGCTTCAATATTATACGTAATACATACAAAATGATTAACAGTATATTAAGATCATGTTTTGGGGATCATGCGTGTTACATAGAACAGTAATATTTAACAAGCCGTTGAAGATTCCCCCAGCCATATTATAAGTAGCACATAACAACACAGTTAATAATATAGTTAGATCATGTTTTGAGGATTCTAAGCGCTACATAGAACAGTACTGTTTAACAAATCGCCAAGGATGAAATATTTCAAGCTATATTATACGCAGCACACAACAACACAGTTAACACTATAGTTAGATCATGTTTTGAGGATTCTAAGCGCTACATAGAACAGTACTGTTTAACAAATCGCCAAGGATGAAATATTTCAAGCTATATTATACGCAGCACAGATAATAGTAAAGTTCGAACATATTTACGGACTTTGCCCTTACATACAATATACAGTACAATGCAACAAGCTACCGGAAATTATATATTTCGTAAGTACAGCACATAACACAAACAAGAGTATAGATGGATCATGTATTAGACTTTAAATAATATAAAACACGATGTACATAAACACATACAAATAATTATTTATAACTGAATAAAACACCAAGGAATAAACAATATAAACCGCAGTGCATCTGGAGAACGAACAGGAGATCCCGATAATTTCAGAATATTTGCTACTGCTACTGGAAATCAAGTCCATTCCTGGATAAAGAAAACCAGAAACGTGTGCAAAACAAACCGATATTTTGGGTAATTGCTTCGTTTTTTATTTTACAAAAACAAGGTAATTAACAGATGAAATTACGGGTAAGATTCACACCAATTCATTATCAGAGTTTTATATATGATCGTCTATATGGCTGTGTTTCAGTTGCAAGAGAATAAACCATCTCTGTCGTGGACTTGTAATTAAAAACACACACGAAAGGTGTGAAGGAGAGAAATGAGAAAGTGAGTTTATGAAATTCGTGCAATGCCTTGTTAGTTTAAAGTAGTTATAGGTAAGTCCAAGAGGACGCGGTTATCATAAAAACCTGAAATTTATTATTTTAGGATATCAAAACTATTGAAACTGTAAAAGCATATAAGTGCTTCACTCATTTTAAAACCGGCTAAGTGCTAAAACGCAGTATTTTAAAATATATATCTGTTCTGACATAAACAACAAACTTTGTAACTTTTGACCACGTAACCTACACGGATTAATGCAGATGTGTGTGTGTGTGATAATACTGTAACACATAAAAACAACGGCAGTCATCAAAAAATAGTAGCTTCTTTACGACCAATGAGTCGCTCGTGAGGAAAATCAATTGCTAATCAAATTACAGTTTGTACAACGAAATTATCTGAACAGTAGTTCCCACCGAGAGTCCTAGACTAGCCTTACGCTGTGGAGCTGATATTTGCATTTTTCATGATCTTAATTTCACCTGTGATTATGTGCAATATTAAAAGCTACTAAGATGACTCGTATATTCTTCAATGAGCTGTTATTTATGTGTTATCTTAATATTTAATACGATACGCTGTCTTGTAAGACGTGGCTAATATTTTCTGCACCTGAATGATTGAACGTGTATTTATATAATGCCAGATGATTATATTCGGACAGAACTATGTGTATACAGTATTTTAGTAGCAAACTGCATATTCATCAATTAAGTTCTCTTCTTATGAAACAACAACAGGTTTGTTATAACTCTTGTATGTCTTTACAGCATGCTTTCTGAGTCCCAAGAACCAACTACCAAACCTTTAGATAATTTTTTTTATTTTTGTACTGTTTAGTCTAGACTGGCGTATCTTATCAAAACGAACTGCACTTTTAAGTATGATTATTTAACGAAAGACGCTAAATTGTTTTCATTAAAGGTTTTGTCGATTGTCATCAGTTGCACATTTATTTTGTTAGGTATTTTTTTATATTTTTATCCTTCAAATTTATACATTTTATAATTCTGCTTTTTTAAATACAAGAAGCATTGTGTTATTGTTCAATGTTATATAAACTAGCTGAGGATACCAATCATGGGAGAAAAAAGTGTTTAAAGGACAATGGTATATAATAGTCCCCTTCTTTCTTTTGTTATTAAATCCCTAATGACCTCATTAGTTGCTAACTGCATACCCTACTTTGTGGAAAGTGACAATTAACTCATTTAACTGATTAAGTTTGTTTGTTTGTTTTTTGAATTTCGCGCAAAGCTACACGAGGGCTATCTGTGCTA